GACAGCTGCCGATGACCAGTCACGTCTACGCCTACCGCCTGATGCAGGTCGCGCCCATGGGCGACCTTGGCTTTCCCACCTACAAGTGGATGGGCGTCAGTCACGGTCAGGACATCTTCTACCTCTTCCTCNATGACCAGTCACGTCTACGCCTACCGCCTGATGCAGGTGGCGCCCATGGGCGACCTTGGCTTTCCCACCTACAAGTGGATGGGCGTCTCACACGGTCAGGACATTTTCTACCTCTTCCTCCCTCAGCTGGCGAAGAATATTCCGGCCGCCCATCAGCTCAGTCACCGCATGATCGAGGACTGGACCACCTTTGCCAAGGTTGGTCACCCCCAAAACGCCCTCTGGAGGGAGTCTTTCCATCGAGAAACAAATGACTTCAACACTCGCTACATTCACCTAGAGGTGGGACACTTCAGANGACTGGACCACCTTTGCCAAGGTTGGCCACCCTCAAAACGCCCTCTGGAGGGAGTCTTTCCATCGAGAGACAAATGATTTCAACATTCGCTACATTCACCTAGAAGTGGGACACTTCAGGCTAGTCTCTGGGCATTTCAAGGAGACATGTGAGAAGATTTGGAAGCCGATTATTTTTACTTAGGTTGTTGATTGGGTGGTGATGATATCGATCATGAAACTTATCAAGTGGTATCAGCCCTGCACTCCAAAAACTGCACTTTAATCTGTTGCCTTATTAGGCAATGCAAAACTTTTAATCTGCTTTTAATCTGCTGTAGTGCTCATTGTTGAAGCGCCTACACCCCAAAGGAAATTGTAGCTGATTATTTTTAATAAATTAACAATGAGTATTTAAGTTTGTGAGCTACATTTTGCCTTTTTACATAGGTACAAAGTTTAGTTAATTGAAGCACAATGATTACAGCCAAAACTGTCGCCATTTTGGCTTTTATTTTCTATTGTCATGCTGTTGCTGCATCAGTAAAGCCATCACCTATAGTACAGTTGAGCGGCGGAAAAGTGCAAGGAGTTGTGGTTGATGTGGAGAACGAACAAAGTGTGAATGTTTTTCATGGTAAGTTGTTGTAAAAAAGTTTTTTTTAAACTCAAATCTAACCTTTATTCATTTTTATCTGACAGGCATCCGATATGGTAAGGATAAAAATGAGGTAAAACTCAAACCAAAAAAGTTTGACAAAACCTTTTTCTTAATAAGCTCGAGCGGACCGTTTTGCCAAACCTAAATTGCCTGAACCTTGGAGCGGCGTGTACAATGCGACCCAATTTCAGTTTGCCTGTCCTCAGCCGGGAATTCCCTACGGTCAACACCCTGTGGGCGGGTACATGGCCCAGGCCACCAACGAGGACTGCCTTTTTGTGTCCGTCTTTGCGCCGGCAAAACCAGCAGGCAAACTGCGTCCGGTGATGGTGTGGATTCACGGCGGTGGCTTTCTCATCGGCAGTGAGTTCACCTTCACCAATGACGGAAAGATGCTGGCTAGTTTAGGCGACGTGGTCGTTGTCACTATAAACTATCGACTTGGAGTTTTGGGCCTCCTCTACGGCGGCGATGACTTGGTGCCGCCCAATCTAGGCCTCTACGATCAGGTAGGATTATCTTTTAGAACAATTTTGTTTGTTTTTATTTTGTTCTTTTTTAACTTCTTTAGATCTTTGCCCTCAAATGGGTGCAGGCAAACGCTGCCGCTTTTGGCGGCGATCCCAAACAGGTCAGTAAATGAAAAACTAATAAAAAGGTTTTATTAACCAAAAATTTAAACTGCAGGTTACCATCTTCGGCGAGAGTGCCGGCTCAATGTCCGTCGGCTCGCTGGTGCTCTCTCCGCTGGCAAACGGCCTCTTCCACCGAGCCATCATGCAGTCAGGAGCGCCCACTTCCGCCGTCGGCTCACAATCGAAGGCCGACTCGCTGAAGGCGACTCAGGTGGTGGCCAGGCGGCTGAACTGCCCAAACACTGACAGCATCGCCCACTCTATTGCCTGCATTCGCGACAAAACCGTACCGGAGCTGACTGCCGTCGCCACTGCCATGACCGACGCCGAACTGGCCCTTCGTCCCACTCACGAAACGGAGCTCCTGCCGCTGAGACCGGTTCAGGCGGTGAAGACGGGCAAGTTCAATCGCGACATTGACCTGCTCTTTGGCGTCGTCAACGACGAGGGCATGTCCGTCTTTGCCAACATGTTCAACCTCACCCGGAACAGCACCTCTGCCGACCTGTCTCTGGAGAAGGCGAGGCTGGTGATGAACTTAGTTTTCAGCACACTGTCAGGGCCGCTTGACAGTCATTTGGGAAACACAACGGAGATCATTGACTTCTACCTGAAGGCGGTGCGCAACGCTTCGGATCCGTTTGCCGTGCGGAAGGCAGTTTCTGACGCTTTTGGAGACTATTATCTTGTCTGGTAAGAAAAAGAAATGCCACCTAATGCTTCTATTGCTAACTTTTTATATTTTTTATTATAAAAATGTCAGTCCGACAATTCTTTTCGGTGAAGAGATCGCCCGACAGCAGCCGAAGACCCGGTATTACAGCTACCGCCTGGTGCAGCCCTCCTCAGTGCCGGCCTTTGGCTGTCCGGCGGGCGAAGGCGTCGTCTGTCACGCCATCGACGTGCCGCCCACTTTTGGAGTGCCCATCGAGCTGCAGGGAATCGTGTACACGGACGAGGAGGCGACGCTCAGTCGGGACATGATTCGGGCGTGGACTAACTTTGCCAAATGTGGACATCCGGGCACTGTTGGCTCAGTCGAGTGGAAAGAGGCTTTCAGTAGAAGTGCTGACGGAACTTTGTCAGCGCCAGCTACCAGCTACATTGAACTGAACGCCCACAAGTACCGAATGGTAGATGGGCGGTACAAGGCCAATTGTGATGCATTCTGGAAGCCGAGGATCTTTGCCGATTGATTGATTGCTTAGGTTTAATTTTAGGTGCAGGGATGACACATCCTCTTTAGCTCAAAGTTGTAGATTGTTGCTGTTTACCGGCGGTGATGAAACTAGGCAATAGCAGAATTTTATCGTTGAGCAGATAAATAAAAATAAAAAAAGTTAGTTTTTGTTTTCTTTACCTACATTTTGCTTTTCTCTTTTTTGTCACTTAGTGCACCAAATAATTAGCATTATTGATTAGAAAAGCATTAGTTTATTTTTGGGGCGCTGATAGTGCTGCAGACAACTAAAATAATTTCATCGTAAGGAGACATTAGGTGCCTCAACAATTAATCATCTTCAATGCTCCTGTTGAGAAAATGGCAACAATAAATACCATTGCCCTCTTCAGCAGTAGCTGACAGAGTGTATCAGCACTTTTCAGACTTTGTTGACTGTGACACTAGATTTTTTGGTGTCAAGGGAAGAAGATGAAGTTTTCAATTACCTTTTGTTTGCTCATCGGCGTCATCAGCTGGGCGTTTGCTGCAGAAGCTGATCCCACCAAACTGTCGCACGTCATTAAGCTAAAGGACGGCAAGGTGCAGGGCGTCATTGAGGAGGCTGCTCATGGCCACAAAGTGGACTCTTACATTGGTAAGCACAACACTATCTTTGTTGTACATTTTCATAACAGTTTTTAATATTCCCAGGAATCCGCTACGGTCACGCAAAACGTTTCGAAAAGGCCACCTCCGTTGAGCCGTGGACTGAAACGTACAATGCCACCCACTGGCGTGACGCCTGTCCCCAGCACGGCGTCGGTGTGGCGCCCAACAAGTTGCCCTTCCACACTGAAACAATCAGCGAGGACTGCCTCTACCTGACGGTGACCAGACCGCACAACTCGCACCACACCAACCGCTCGGTGATGTTCTGGATTCACGGAGGTAACAGTTGTGGTTGATGATAAAGGTTTATACAAAAACAAATTTATCATTTTGGTTTAGGTGGCTACAACTCTGGCTCCATTTTCACAATGGCCTACGATGGCCGCTACCTGGCCAGTCAAGGCGATGTAATCGTCGTCACGGTCCAGTACCGGTCAGTCGTTTGAATATATCAAAAAATAAAAAGAGTTTAATTTTTATCTTTACTAATTTAAGATTGGGCCCATTCGGCTTCCTCGCCGAGGAGAGCAGCACCAAGAAGGACCACCCGGGTAACTTGGGCCTCTATGACGCCCTGCTCGCCCTGCGCTGGGTGCACGAGAACATTGCCCATTTTGGAGGAAACCCGCACGATGTGACCATCTTCGGAGAGTCGGCGGGCTCCTTTGCTGTCGGTTCTCTATTGTTGTCGCCCCTCTCTAAGGGTCTCTTCCACCGGGCGATCATGCAGTCGGGCGCCCCGAACAGCTACTTTGGCGTTCAGACGTACAAAGAGAACGGTGAGGTGGGCAAGTGGCTCGGGGGCCGAGTGCACTGCAACAATGAGACCGCCGCCCAGCTGGTCGACTGTCTGAAGGGAAAGACGGTTCAGGAACTGGTCGACGGTTACCAATGGCTGACTACCCAAAATCAGAACTTTAAGCCCGTCTACCCAGAGTCGCTGCTGCCAATCAGACCGGTTGAGGCGCTGAAGGGTGGCAAGTTTAATCATGATGTTGATCTGATGGTATGTTGGAAAAATTTTTAAGTTACATTTTTTGCAAACTTTTTTGTTTTCAGTTTGGCACCACCTCACATGAAGGATCAGGTAAGAGATTTAGTTTTTTTAAGGTTTAGAGGCAAAAAACTCAAACCCTGTCATTGTAGGTTTTGTCCTCTGGCTCTCTCCAGAGGTTCACTCCAACCAGAAGTTGACGGTGAACACCACAAAGGATGCTATCAAGGAGCAAATGAAGTTCTTCCATGCTGGCTATGAGACGGAGATTGCCCAGTACTACACAGGAAAACTGCCCGCCAATGCTACACAAGATCAACTAAAGTGAGTTTTTTTGGTAAACAAAATAAACAAAGTTTTTACTGTTTAATTTTCAGACTGGCAATTGCCGACTCCTTTGGTGACTACCACCTCGTCTGGTAAGAAATCTAGAAACTACTAAATATGTTTTGTTAACTTTCGATACTTCTTCTACAACAAACATATCAGCCCAACCATTCTCTTTGCTGAGGAGTTTGCCAAGACAGTCCATCTGATCAGTCCAAAACGGCAGTTTTTTGCCTACCGCCTGATGAAACCCACCGGACAGATGAACTGCACCGGCTGGCAGCCAGTGTGCCACGCAGAGGACATTTTCTACCTGTTTGTCATTCCGGCGCTTAGCTCCAATGCCGAGCTGATGAAGCTGAGCACTGACATGATCCACGCGTGGACGCACTTTGCCAAGACGGGTCACCCCGGAAAAATGGGCGACGTCCATTGGTCAGAGGCTTTTGAGCGGACACAAGCGGTCACCACCACGTACATGTCCCTCGACCCTGCCGCCTATCAAATGGTAAGGGAACTGATTTGTTTGATTCAAAGTTAAAATTCTTAACTATTTTTTGTCTAAAATTCAGGTGCCCAAGTTTTACCAGCAAACATGTGACGCCTTCTGGAAGCCAAAGATTTTTGTCTAGTGTAGTAAAACTGTCACAGTATAGATTTTTTAAAAGTACTTTTGTTAAACGGAAAGCACTTTACAATGTTAGCAATGCATTTTTGTTATTGTTGTGCGGTGTGTGTAACTACAAATCAATTTTGTTTTCAATTTCCTCAAGCCGGAACTCATTAAAGTTTCATTAATTACATTTTCAAATATTTATGTTTTTTTGCACAAATACTAAACGCACCGTAAATAGAAAGAAAGTCTGAATTGACTTAGATTGATAGATTGAAGTCACATTAGCTAAATTGTGCTGCACATTTTTTAATTAATTGTGAAAAGTCGCCTTTAAATGTCACTTACAATGTCTAAATTGCAAGTTTCGTTTCAGTTTTACTTTGTCAGAATGAAGCCCATCATGAAGAAAGCTGCCATCATGTTCCTCCAGTCAGTGGTTCCGTACAAGGAGCTAGGCCACAGTCGTCAATACTTTGCCACCTGTGCCCTGGTGGTCGAGCAGAAAGACCCGGGCACATTGCGTTTCTTTTACGCCTATTTTCTCTTTCTGGGGTACATGGTTCTGCTGTATCTTGCCTTCTACTTCCTTCCACTCAGTCCACTCGCCAGAGCTGTCCTCCTTGACACAATCTTCATACTGAACATTCACCCGCAGTTTTGCTTCTTCATCATTGGCCTACTGTGCTTCTCTGGTTACCTTTACTGGGCAATGTACTTTCGCAGCATCACCAAGCTGGGCGTCCTTGCAGAGCACGCTTTCTTTGGGTGCAGTGGCGTGTCGATGCCACTGCCTCCAGCGACCTTTTTATCCTCCACTGTCAACCAAGTTCTATTTCGCCGGATAGCCATGATCGTCACTAATTTTATTCAGCTTTTTATCGCTTTTTTGGATCTGTGTTTGGCCGCATTCACCATTGTTTTGATTGTCTTCTTAACTACCAATTCCCTTTTTCAGTCAATTTTCAGTTTTATTGCATTAGCACCTGTTTTCGTTTTACATTTTTGTTTCTTTTTCATCTTCTGGTGCTCATTTGCACAAATGGTAATTATTAAATCATTTTGTTTTTTGTTTGTCACTCAACTAATAACTTTTATAGTTTAGCTGGGTAGCAACGTTTGCTGTAACAGGACTATTGTACTTTCAGTTTTTGTTTTGGCAAAACTACAGAAAAATTCAAAAAGCACTATCTAGAGCAAAAAATCGTCCTAATGACTTAGAAGTAGCACTGAAAGACAACCTCCACCTTTTTGAAATGTTTTTCCTTGGAGACACTTTCTTTGGGCAAATTTTGCTTGTTTACCTTGCACTTC